CTCATTGGAAACCTATGGCATAAGAAACTGATCCGGAAACCATAACATTCCTGTATATAACATAACAAATCTCGTTAAATCTACATGAAATGAAGATATTTTTTGCGGTGCAATAGGTGAAGTGGAAATACACGTCAATAGTACAGAAAGCCGATGTTTTTATTTTTCTGTCGATTCGCTTGAAAATGTTCAGCACAAAATTTTCGAGGTTGAACAATATACGAATTTTGAGTGAAAATTTGAAAATTGATATACTTATTTTGTTCATTCCGTTTGGAAGGTCAAATCAGGATTTGTCTTGGTTCGTTAATATCTCGGTAAATATGAATTTTGAATTGTATTTGAGGATTTCAGATTCGCCCCAAAATGCCTCAAATGAAAACTCTGGGGGTTTAAAGTTTGAGATATCAGAATTCCGAGTTGAATATTCAAATTCAAACGATTTTGTCATTTCCTTATCAATTTGTCACAAAATCGTGGTTGAAAAATACGCATATCGAGTCGCATTTGAGAATTTAAGATGGCGTCCCATAAGATGGCGGATGATTTCAACATTCTTCTCTTTCGATTCGCCCAATTCATGGGTAAATAATAATAATTATTAATTGATTTAACGATTCAAAATCTACAGTGTTGTCATCATTCTAGATGCTACAAAGTGTGTTTATTGAAATGCATCTACCACATACCAAGCTGAAATAATATCATGAGTACATAACAAAAGTATTTATTATAGTGATTACTATAGAACAAATGTGAAAAAAGTAACAAAATCAATAGTAACAAAAACAAAAGTAACAAAATCAGAACTAACAAAAACAAAATAAATATTTCATTGAGGATAATATATTATCAGTTATAATACGAACAGTTTTGTTATCTCTTTTTGTTATCTCTTTCACAATGGGGATCTAGGACTAGACCTAGACACTCGCCTCGACCCATTAAAATTGTGAAAGAGATCAAGGAAACCTCGAAAAAAACTATATAGATAAACAAATTCTTAAACAGGTACTGCTCTGAGATCTATTTTCTTATTGAAATTTTGTGAATTCTTATTGGTTAAATACAGTATAAATACAAAATTGTTAATAAAAAGTAGTATCCTCTCTTATGCAGAAAGAATATTCTCCTTCTTCATATTATCCATATATTAGGTCGAGCTAGGTTAGATTGTTAAGAAAAATTAGTCTCCCTTCTTATGCAGAAAGAATATTTTTCTTCCTCATATTATATATCATGCCGAGTTAGGTTAGGTTGTTTGCAAAAAAAAGTCTCCTTCTTTTTTCGGAAATGATTATATTTTATGCCCTAGAATGAGTTCAAAACATATGAAACTTGATAAAACTACCATTTTATATGTTTCCTACTTTGCGCGCAATTACAGCATACCTTTTTTGAGACGTGCGTGCAATTGCACTATGGGATAAGGACGAGGATTAGGACCGAGATTAGGACACACTGTTGAGAATACTGACCGCTGCGCGCAATTGCAGTATGCCCATAATACACAAAATTTGCGTGGGTATCAACTCTGGAGCTTGAGATCCCCAAGGTGAACTTTTTTTATTCAGGCGATTCGGACAATGACAAAGTTTTCCGTCCCATTGTAGGCGCCATCTAGAATTTCAAAACTAACTCGAAAATCATGATAACTCCAAGAATAACTGATTTCTTTTCCCCATTATAGGAATTACCTTTCGTGCGCTCCAAGAGACGACAAAAAATTGACGCTTCCCTACAGAAGCCATCTTGTTTTTTGAAATTTGGACTCGAAATTCGAAATTGCCAATCTCGAGAACCCATACGTGTACATTTTCAGGTAAATCAGAGAATAAATAACAAAGTCGCCGCCACCTTGCGAACGCCCTCTTGAATTTTCAAATTTAGAATTCAGTTTGTGATAATTGTCGGATTACGAGAGTCACGAGAGACCACCAGACTGCCACCGGACTGCCACGGACTGCCACCGGACTGCCACCGGACTACCACGGAGTGCCACAGACTGCCACCGGACTGCCAAAAGAATGTACACCCGACTGCCCCAGTGATTTACCCCTCGTCTTTTCCTGTAGCGAATCGAGAAGAATTTTCAACTTTCAGGTCGCAGCTTTAATACAAATATTTTCAGATTGTTAATACTCACTAGACGGCACAGTTAAAACAGTTATCTGTTAGGCGAAATACTCTTGAAATAAATTCACAGGCACATCGCCGTGATCCGGAAGGTCTACTATCGACTGGCTACCACTGCGAGATAGGCAAACATTATCTACCGCTAACCGCGCTAACCGTTACATCAATTTCTGTCTTTGAAATTAATAATTGAACTTAAATGAAAGAAATAATGGGTCAGATAACAGTTGAGGTTTAATTCAGTTTGTTGGATGAAATAAACAACAGGCAAGTCCCATTTCACCTAAATTTTACATCAACCAAACAAGTTATTGCTTGGAGAAATATTCAAGTTGGAAGATAGTTGTTGCAAGTATCGTTCGTTAGGTAAAACGAAAAAATTCCTCGAAAAATTCCTAATGGCTCCATAAACAGAATGAGAAGTGATGTATAGCATGAAAGACATTATTATTGTAGAAGAAGAATATATTTTTTTGAATTTGTACTTGTTTCAATTGATCAATCATAATTTCAAGATTTTTGATATGAGGTAAGCTATTTTTTTGTTGAAAGCTTTTATTTAACTTGCATTGTATGTTTGTATGTATGTATGTAGGTATGTATGTTCGGGTGGAATCTTTGAACTCAATTTTGAAGTAGAAATCTTCAACCGATTGAGCTGAAATTTTGTATACACGTTCAGTTTGGATCACAATGCACGATAAGGTGTGTCACGTTATTCCAATCCAAGATGGCGGAATAGCTATTTTTGATATACTTTTACAATATGGGTATCAAATGAAAAGGCTCGTTGAGAGTAACTAGAAAAATGATGTGACGTCATTCTAAATCGAATATGGCGGACTATCCAAGATGGCGGAATGGTCATTTTCAATCTACTTCTACAATATGGGTATCAAATGAAAGGGCTCGTTGAAATTAGGAAATTTAAAAAACGAAATATATTTCTTTTCCGACGCGTAATTTGACTTACACCCTGTCACACAGCAATTATTTGGCATCTTCTTATGAGAATGGTTGAAATTACTTACTTTGCTTGCAAAAATAAGACAACATACAACATAACCTCAATTCAAAAACAATGTTTGATGAGACTTTCACACACAAACGAACACCCTTTCACTTATAACTCGATCACTAGAATATTCCTTACACTTTTCACTGGCTTTCAACAATATTTCACATTGATAACACATCAATTTACTCTTGAAAACTAAAAAAATCACTCTGTTACGCGAATGGCAGGAGGTAGAACTTTTGAACAGTGTTGCCAGACTGGGCTCACCGCGGCTTGTTATACAGGAGGCTGTGATGTAGCTTGACTACAGCCTCCCCACCATACTGCTACTATTATTAGTATTATTATTAACTGACAATAAGGGCAGAGGCAGAGCCTGTTGTGTCCAGAAATATAAATGTACATTACAGAACAAAGTGAGTGATATCGTAAAAACATGAGAATCTAAAATAGCGACAATAAGGGAGATCAACACAATAGGTACAGTCATAAATTATAACACTGGGAACCATTTTTGAAACTGTTCATGCTTCACAACGGTCTCTGGGAGCGAATTCCATAGCCCAAATACTCTATTGGCGAAAAAACTTTGCCTAACGGTGGACTTGAAGTTTTCGCGTTTAAGCTTCGCTGTATGTCCTCTCAGCCTGGGGTCCGTGTTCAGCTACTCATCAACAATCTACCCCATTCATTTTATTTCAACTCTTCTCAATATTTTACTCAGATTCCATATTATATGCTATACCAAGAAGTTACTATGACGTGGTACTTTCGATTTCGAAACAAAAGTAGGTACTAGTTTGAATGTCTCATATGTTGTGTTATGAAACCATCCAACGATTTTGAATTGACACCAAAGTTTGGAATTGTGATAATCCGTTCGATTAGGCAGAGCAGGTCACACTAATTTTCCTACTAACGAAGTTTTTCAGTTCATTGCTTTTTGTTTATTTTTTGTTGTTTCGTTGTGTTAATGTCGAAACTTCTTGCTGAAAAATTAATATTCGTTCTGAAGGTAAAGAAATTATCAATCGATTCATTCCGAATAATACATAGTAAAACGTATTTAGGCAGAATTTTGAATTGACTCTGGTGTTACTTGATGGAAATCCATGGCAAATGTAAAAAGTTCACAACATTCTCAATCACACGACATGTTTCGCTAACACAGTAGCTTCATCAGGTGAAATACTGTTACAATGAAGTTCATTTTGTGGAAATCTTATCGTTTGTGAAGTTTTTACTTTCACTTATGGAGAATGCTGATGGCAGCAGGTGGTTGCCAAGGAACATATGTTTTGTTCAGTATCTCTGGCAAATCCTCGCATCCAAAGGCATTTCAACAGTAATTGTCATTGCTGAATCGTTTATAAAATTTATGGAATATTGTGTATTCTTGAATGAAGGTTAAAGGGTTGAGTAAATTTAATTTAGAGGTAGATTGAAGTTTTTAAACTAATACAAAACTATAATAAGTCAAAGAACCACAATAATATTTGAAGAATTCTGAATATATACCTATTTCGGACGCTATGTTGTCGTCATCAGTCAATCTAGAGAAACAAATTTGCTGACTATAGTATCTTTCGGCAATATTTCCAGAATTCTTCAGAAATTACTCCGCTTGTATTTTCTGGAGTATATCCCGGAAGATATTTTTTAGTCAGCTGATCTTTATTTTTTTTTAGGCTTTTATAAATATTACTGTGGTACTTTGTTTTTTTTTTTTCAGGTAACAGTAACAGTAAAGGGAATTTTTGGTTCGCCAAACGGAATATGTTTTGAATTTTCACTAACACGCCAACTTAATTTGATTTGCAATCCAATAACTTCATCGATGTTTCAGATCCAACAACCCCTTGTCAGCAGATGCGCCCGATCTTACAAACTTCACATGTGTGGAAGATTGGCTCAATTCCATAAAAATGGCACGATACTTAGAAAACTTCCATTCCGGAGGAATTGCTACTATGGACGCGGTAGTGAATCTCACTGTCAAAGAGTTGACAGAACTAGGAATCACTCTTGTAGGACATCAAAAAAAGATAATGAACAGTGTTCAGAATATCAGGGCACAAATAAGAGTGAATGGCAATGAGGGGTTCTTGGTTTGAAGAGTGTCTCTGAAATATTGGACCATTAGTAAAAGGATTTTAAGTGTATTCTGAGGAAAACGTACGTTAATTTATGACCATTTTATACTAAGATGACATCCGTAATTATTTATGGTGTATGTGAAATTGTGGCAGCTAAGCTTATTTATTCTACAAAAATCAAAATATATATCATAATGAGTGCTGATGAGTGCTAATGCGCAATTTGCCTCTTCGTATTAGAAATGTTATGATTGTGATTTATAAATATCAATTTCAATTTGAATGAACGAATCTGTAATTTCAATGAGCATCCAATGCACTTGACAGAAGTAACACTGATTTTGTAATTCCAGGATATCCCAATGAGATCAAAATATAAATGATACTATTGGACATTTCAGTAACCATCATGGATTTCGAAAATTCAAATCAATGTGATCCACATTTGCTGATTTATTATTTCCTTTTACCCAAAGTTAATAAGTGATTGCAATATTGCAAAGTTCAGGAGGAATGGTCGCCAAGTCATTAGATGCTTATTTGACCTTTAATTTAGCGCGCATTTGATACCCTGTCAATATTCGTTGAATTCGCATATAAAATATAACTTGTGATGATGCAGTTTCCAATGATTCTCCTAATATTATGATTCTTTGTCACGACAGTTGGAAATAATACACCCGGGTAAAGCTCGAATCATGATGATACTCGTTCAAATAGTGGATGATAATCGGCAATTTAATCATTACTAGTTAGTGATAATCTCAGACAGCATGATGAATTAAGTTATAATTTTGTATTAATAATCTACATGTATATATTCTTTTTCTTAGATATTTATTATTGCCATATTTATGAAAATGCCGAAATTATCTAATATCTCGTTATTTCTACCCAAAGTGTATTGTCCTTTTTACTTGAAATACAAATGAAGGAAAAAACACCAAATTAACTTGTTAAAAACCAAATATAAATCAAAAGTTTTTTTTTTTGACATATCACTTCTGAAGCACCTATTGAACATATTTATTTCTTCATTTCATTCTGGAAGAACGCAAAGTACAATGATTCATGTAATATTTTTGTTGATTAAAATCTAGATAGAATCAGTGTAAAGGTTTGTCGGTAGATTGAAGTCTATATAAATTATATTTCTAAATAATTCTAAATCTTGAATGTATATTGAATAATAGCAATAATTCAGTGTTTCAAATGCTATTTTTTATTTCATCATAAATTGATGCTCTTTTGTAATTATCATATTGGCATATACTTTTTTGGCAAGACATAGTCTCCTAATGTTATATCGGAATAGTTAAGTGTCCAAAATCGAAATTGAAAAATAATTGAACTTGAATTGTATGTGAAATCAGATGATGTAATGAGTGATTTTTTTTAATGCAGAGAAGAATAAACTATGAACAACATTTTTATGATTTTTTTCATTCCACTTAAAACTGCTGTTTCCAAATCGGGTCATTTGACGGTGGTTTCTGGAAAACAAATTCTGGAGTAGTTAGGCATTTTTGATATAGTGGTTGCAAGGATGCTGATCATGAATCTGAGGTTCATCACCAAAGTAGTAGTAGTAGTAGTAGTAAAGCACCCCTTTTCTTGGGTTGGCCTATACAGGGGTCTTCACAAAGTTACTGATTCACTGGGTTCGTGAATACTTAGGCAGGAGTAAGATTGGTGTATATAGACATTAATACGGCAGTTCAAAATACATAAATCTCTATTCAGCAATCATCATAATATGGACAGGCAGAGTTGACATGGAAGTAAAACAGATGTGCTTACATTATATTGGTTGGTTATACATGATGACAGGATGATGTACACTCGCACTATTATACCGGGTCACTTTGAAAAGTTAATACAGTTTTATAAAAGTTCAATAATTCTCGATACACATCTATTGCAGCAACACAATATGTTCACTAGGTACAGACTTTTAAGCAATTTCTAATATCAACTACATATCACGTATAACTAGACTGTTTAGCAGAGTTACTGGTTCAAGACATGAGACTTCGTATCAAGAGTTCGATCAAGACTGACTTTTATTCCAAAATTCCCTGCTTTTATACTGAGATTTGGTCATAAATTTAATCAGAATTCATTAGATTTTCGCTTAGTTGAATTGACCTCGAATTAAAGTGCAAAAAGAGAGGCTTCAGATGTTTTCAGAAATAGTTTTTAAACTAATGGAATTTTATCATTAATCATTTTGCAAAAATCGATGTCAGTTGACCTTGGGTATTACTTAAAATTAAGTACAGAAAAAGGATTTCAATGTTCATCTGAAAAGATTTTAAACTAATTGATTTTTGTAATAATTCATCTGGCCTCTACCTATCTTTGGCCCGCCCCTCTGCTGTGGCTCAGTTACTTAGGTTATAAATTCCCTGTACACTCTTTTCTAACTTTTATTCACATCTTTTTTTTTTGCTGTTCCTGTGTGCCACTATCAACAATGTTACAAAGGTAAAGTACCTAATAATAAACCTATTACATATATGCATTTCTTGGGATTTGAAACAAATATGCATATTTCCAACAAGAGTTAATTCACGTAATAATATTGCTCTATCAATCTATCCTTCTAATACTTATTGAATGCATTCGAGTTCAGATACCTAAATATTTATTGACCTAATTAAAACGACCTTCTACTTCCTATAAGGGTGAAGTGTCTAGCATTAGTATTCGTTATGATATTTTTGGTCGAGTCTTCGCGTTCATTACATTCGATCCATCCCTCGTAGACGAAATTCCATATTTTAACATATGAATTTCGTTGCTATATTTGGATTATGATCTGTATTTCTTTCTAGCGCTATTATTACGTGAACTTCACCCATGTAACATCAAGAGCATCTTACAACATCCTCGAAATTGTTTATATAACGTTGTGACCCAGTAAATTATAGTATCAACAAATAAAATGAATGAGATATTTGAATGATCTTTGGTAGGTACCTGCAGACCTCTCTTACGATAAATATATAGAGTCGTTCATGCAAAATTCCTATACCTGAATAATATAACTAGGTTTCTATTATAAATTAAAATTATTGCATTTTTTTTTCACACTATACTACTACCTACGAAAATTTTAGACAATTTCCAATATCTATATATTGCTTCTAATACTTATCTCTACTCTGGTAAATTATGAAATAAAGATAATTACATGCGAGTATAGTCTAACGAAACCTATATCTATAAAATCAAATCACTCACTCAGTTGACGTTTAATGGTAACCTTCAGGTTACGTCCCATTTGATAAACCCATCGCTCGGTCGGGGTGTTTGACCCCTGGGCTTCTTGGGTAGATCCAGGCTGGTTCAATGGATGGTCCTCTCGCTGTCCTGGGTTAGGTGCCGGGTATGGCACAGAACGGTTCAGGGGTGGCCTTTGAGGTATCATAGGCCCAACACCTGGGGCGATGTTTTCGTGCTCATAGGGTGGTGGTGGGGAGTTGGATCGCCCTGCTGTTGTCGCAGTTCTTACCCCTCGGAGGCACCATACACAAGGGCATGGAGGAGGCACCCGGAGGGCCAGTGCAGTTCTTCTGAGCTCCAGGTGAAACAATCTCAGGTGCAACCAATTTATCACCCACTGGTGATGGTTGGAACGGCTATACGGTGTTACCGTGTATAAAAAATCACTTTCCGCAACTATATTTTTAATAATAATCAGAATTATACTCAATTTACCCTCATCCGGAGGTAACTCTCTAACTAGCGTCATTAAATGTTCCATTTTTGGTTCGCGAGTCGACAAATTGGCAACCACATGCACTAATGAAATAAAAAGTTTGGAGAATTCCCTGGCAATTTATATCTATTGGATATTGTTTATAAAAGAATGAGGCCTCAATGCGGGGATATTATTTCATATTCGAGTTTTCCATTTGGTTAATGTAAAAATTATGTGAAAATATGTTTATTTTCTTTTATTAATGGTACTCTCTTGGTTTTGTTCATCAATTAGAGCGATATCTTGTGCTCATTGTTTATTTACGGTACTAAATGCCTTGAGCATTTGAAATTTCGCAATATAGTGACCCAGTTCCTAATTATTCTGAGTCGTTAATTGATGAGTCCTTAATTTTTGTTGAATTGCCACCCAACTTCATGGAGGGGGTTGGTAATATTATGATGCAATTCATGACGAAGTGTATGGAAATTCCGTACCGTAGATGGATTATTTCTTCCCAAATTTTCTTGACTGGATTGACTTTGAATAATCACCTGCTCTGGAATATCAAGGTTTTTAGTGTTTTCTTGGTTGATAGTGAACTGATGATCGTTATTCTTCTTTTCACCGTCAGCATGTTGACTAATGATAAATAATGTAAGGGTATCCCAACAAGCCCCTAACATATGGAGGGAACATCCTTTTATCTTATGTATTGCGATTGCGTTCAATACCGCTTCAATCGTAAATTTCAATATTTTGCAGATGAAGTATATTCCAAGTAAACCACTAGTCCATTCTCCTAAGCATAAGAACCATCCATATAATTTCTTTAGTGTAGAATTCGTAATTTTTTCTAGTTCTTCCTTGTTAAATAGGTTTTTCTACTCCTTACTCGGTAAGTACTTCATTTTGATACTGATTTGAGGGAGGAAAACACGTTCTACCTCCCTAGGGAGGTAAGTAAATATTTACCTCCCTAGGGAGGTAGAACGTGTTTTCCTCCCTCAAATCAGTATCAAAATGAAGTACTTACCGAGTAAGGAGTAGAAAAACATTTTTTTAAATCTAAGGGAACTGGAGTAGAAAAAATATAATACAAAACTCGGGAGGCAGTGTTCTTGACCAGTCTCGGACTATTTTGCAAGCCCTCGCTATCGCTCGGGCGCAAACAATGTCCTCGACTGGTAAGTATCACTTGCCTCCCTTGTAGTGTAAATAACTATTAACGCCGTGAAACCCTGATTTTCCACTGGTTTTCCGGCAACTTTCCTTAGAATTATATCACTCAAAGCTTGTTTTTCTATTCCAAACATCATAGATTCCTGGGCTTTTCGTATTTCTTGATCAGTATATATTCCTCCTGTACTCAATCTTTGAATAGATGGTAGGTTGAACAAATCTTCGTCATCCACTTTCAATTCTACAGGGTTAATGCCGATGTTGGGATAGGGGTCGAATCCAACCCACTTATTTTCCAAATAGAACATAGGCGGGATGAGAGAATTACACTCGATTTCTTGAGCATGTTTTTGAAAAATTCTAGTCAACGGTGATAGGAAATATGAGGTATTGTAGGCTATAACAGGTAACTCGACGTAACAGGATGTTTCTCGGCGTATCTCGATGGTAACAGGTAAACATTTCATAATGTACATTACTTCCCCAATTATTTTGGCAATATATCCGTCGGTTTTTCATTAAAGTGGCAACTGAATTTGGTGATAAAGGAGCTAAAGTTAGTCGATTTTTTAATATTTCTCTATGCAAGAGACATCGGCGATGTATGGTTTGGATAAACATATCATTCAGACTGCGTTTGAAAGACTGTTCCACGTACATGAATTTGGTGTTTATATAGGTTATGAGGTCTGCATCATTGGTATCAGATTTCATCCATGGGTTATAGGGGTTTCCTTTATCATATTCTTCAATTAGCAGTTGAGGATGCTCAGTACATAATTTGCGATAGCACATTTGTTCCTGTTTAATCAGTTGGAGAGCAAATACCTTCGTGCGATCTTCCACCACTAAATATTGGTTACAATACGATTGTTCACATTTTTCTTTAACAAGGGTTGCCTTTCCTTGGTATAGTATTTTGTGGTTTGCACATTCTCCTTGCGAATGGGTTCCCATACTGTTTCGCCAATATTGAAATTCATGCAGTAACCCTTCAAATACGGACAAGTGACTTCATTATGCAAGACTATTTCATTATTTTCTAATTTGGAAACTGTTAAGTAGGTAATCTCTAATTGTGAGTTTTAAACTGGCAGTTACAATAACATTATGCCATTCTCTTCCATTGAAACTATAGCTTACTCCTTTACATGATCCGCTGCTGTCAGGACCGTCTCTGACCTATTAGAGGCCCTGGGCACATTAGAATAATGGGGCCCCAAGACCATAATAAAGTACTATTTTGTTAGAATAGACAAATAACGTATAAATGCAAAGTTTTAGCATTATTTTAATTTTCGTACGATTACATTAGATATGATGAATAGATTATATCAAGTAATCCACACTGAGTAACCGGCTTCCACGATTAGTCCTTACACTCCTTATATAAGTATCTATGCTGATTGAAGAGGTACCCTTCTAGATTTGAATTGAGCAAAATCGTTAATAACATCTTCAAAATCTATGTTTTCGAGCATGACACATTCAATCGACATTAGCGACAAACTATTCAATCTCTCTTGAAGCAT